TTGGTGATCGGCTTCTCTGGACCTCTGCTGGTCTTTGAAGAGGCCTTCTTCTCGGTGAGAGTCCTTTCCATTCTACTGTACTTCCCTTCCTGGATATGGCTCCTGTCATCCCCAGAACTCGGGTTCTGACAGCTTCCCACCTCCCCTGCTCAGTTCTGCAGCAGCAACCAGTTGGAGTACCTGGTGGGCCGCGTGTGGATTGGCTTCTGGCTGGTGTTCTTGGCCCTGCTCATGGTGGCTCTGGAGGGGAGCTTCCTCGTCCGCTTTGTCTCCCGCTTTACCCAGGAGATCTTTGCCTTCCTCATCTCTCTCATCTTCATCTACGAGACCTTCTACAAGCTGATCAAGGTGGGCTGGTGACAGGGCTTGGGCACAGGGAATGTGGGACTTCCTGTCCTGTCTTTTTTCTTAAGTTTTTTCATTCTGCATGTCTGTGTGTGTGAGTACATGCAGTTATGCATACATCTGATTTTGCCATAGCACACATGTGGAGTGTAGGAGTTGGTTCTCTCCTTCCACCCTGGGGGTTCTAGTGGTGGAGTTCGGGTCGCCAGGCTTGGCATCAAGTGCTTTTACCTGCTGAGTCATTTTGCCAGTCCTTTTTCTTATTTTATTTCCATGTCCTGTCTTTTGGTACTTTCTTCTTGACTTCAGGCTAGGCTGGTCCTGGCATCTTCTGGGAGTCTGTCCATGAGCACAGGGCGATATGGAACCAAGACAGGGTTGAAGGGGCTGGCTAGGCCAGGAAAGCTGTTGGGAGTGGCGGGGCCTTGAAGCAGTGTTGCAACCTGCTGTCTGCTGTCTTCTGTGGCTTCCTTGTCACCAACACACAAAGTAGATCAATCTTTCAGAAATTCACATTTTTAAATTTATTTATTATGTGTGTGAGTGTGTTGCCTGTACATGTGTAAGTGCACCTGTGTTGTGCAGTGCCTGCGGAGAGCAGAAGAAAGCATTGGACCGCTTGGAACTGATTGTTAGCCGCTATGTGGATGCTGGGAATTGAACCTGGATCCTCTGTAAGAGCGGCCAGTGTTCTTAACCGCTGAACCATTTCTCCAGCCCATTTCCAGCCCTTTATTATACATCATGATGGTGCAACTTGAAGCTAAACAATTGGTTTTCAAAATCTCTGAATAATTTTTAGATTATCACATGCAAATGACTGAAAATATTTTGTATTTCAAAAATTTGAAACTCTGAATTGACAGTTATATGAAGGAAAGTATTACATTCATAGGTACACACACACACATATATATATAGGTATTTTTGAGACAGGGTCTCCCCAGCTGGCCTGGAACTCGATATGTAGACCAGGCTGGCCTCGAACTCACAGAGATCTGCCTGCTTCTGCCTCCCAAGTGCTGGGATTAAAGGCGTGCACCACCACGCCCAGCTCACTTAAAATATTTTCTATTTATTATTTTCATTTTGTGTGTACGAGTGTATTACCTGCATGTGTGTAAGTGTACCCATGTTGTGCAGTGCCCTTGGAGGTCAGAAGGCATTGGATTCCCCTAGAACTGGAGTTATGGATGATTGTTAGCTGCCATATGGGTGCTGGGATTTGAACCAGGTCTTCTGCAAGAACAGTCAGTGTTCTTAACCGCCGAACCATCTCTCCAGCCCCATAATAAAGTTTTAAAAAATATATTGGTAGCCGGGTGTGGTGGTGCACCTAACCCTGTCTCTAAAAAGACCAAAAAAAAAAAAAAAAAAATACAGATTATAGGGGTGTGTAACCACACTTGGTTCCCTTCATTTCTTTTTATTTTAATAGGTGTGTAGAGCTATGCCATGTGGTTTTCACTTTCATTTTTCTAGTGACTAATGACACTGAACATTAAATGAACATTAAATGAGCCAGGTATGGTGGCTCATGCCTATAATCCCAGTACTTGGGAGACAGAGGCAGTAGGACTACTGTGAACTTGAACCCAACCTGAACTATATCATGCATTCCAACCAAGCTTGGACTATAGAATAATACCCTATGCCTTATCTTTTTTTTTTTTTTTTTTTTTTTTTTTACCAGCGGGACTTTCCACATAGCAAGCTTCATTTTGATTCCTACATTCCACATTTGGTGTGTCTGTGGGCAGACTCAGTGTATGGGGATATATGACTGCAACCTTCCTTTTTTTTTTTTTTTTTTTTTTTTTTTTTTGGTCTTTCTGAGACAGGGTCTCCCTGTAGCCCCAGCTGTCCTGGAACTCACTGTAGACCAGGCTGGCCTTGAACTCACAGAGATCTGCCTGCCTCTGCTTCCCTAGTGCTGGGATTAAAGGCATGCACCACCACACCCCGCTTGCAACCTTTTTTTTAAGACATTGAACAAATGAATTTAGTGTTCAAAAAATAGACTGAATTTTTTAAAAATGCAGAATGCTTCACGACTTGCATGCCATCCTTGCTAATCTGTGCCCAATGTTAGTATCTGTGCCACTGAAATGAACACAAGTCCTTTCTTACTCCAATAAGACAAGCTCCTTGAAGGTAGGCTGGCCTTTGCCAGACTCCCACCCTGGCCCCCTAGCATCTGCTCTGACCCAGTTCAGCCGGTGATCCTTTGTGGCTCCTCCTCAGATCTTCCAGGAGCACCCCCTCCACGGCTGCTCAGCCTCCAACAACTCAGAGGCAGACAGCAACAGTGACAATACAACTTGGGCAGAGCCCACACTGGTGCCAGGCAACAGCTCAGCTGGACAGTCTGGGCAGGAGAGGCCCCGAGGGCAGCCCAACACAGCCCTGCTGTCGCTGGTGCTTATGGCTGGCACGTTCTTCATCGCCTTCTTCCTGCGAAAATTCAAGAACAGCCGGTTCTTCCCTGGCCGGGTATGTGGGCTTGTAGATTGGAGGAGTTGGGGTCATGAAGGGGGGTGACTTGGAAGGATGGGGCAGGAGGCCTCTGATATGCACTTGTCCTTTTAGATCCGGCGGGTGATTGGGGACTTTGGGGTACCCATCGCAATCCTCATCATGGTGCTTGTGGACTACAGTATTGAGGATACCTACACCCAGGTAAGTGGCAAAGAGAGGGTGCTGCTGACTCTGGGCTGCCTCCCCACTCTGGGTTTTGGTGTTCCACTTCAGCTCCTAGCCTGAGCCTGCTCTCAAGCTGAAGAGACACAGTGTTTTCCATTGAGAGCCCTCCCGCTGACCTCATACTGTCTCTGCCTTGCAGAAGCTGAGTGTGCCCAGTGGATTCTCTGTGACCGCCCCAGACAAGCGGGGCTGGGTCATCAACCCCCTAGGGGAGAAGAGCCCCTTCCCTGTGTGGATGATGGTGGCCAGCCTGCTGCCTGCTGTCCTGGTCTTCATCCTCATCTTCATGGAGACACAGATCACCACGTGAGCCATCCTAGCTGAGGGACCAGAGTCCTCAGGCAGACTTGGGGACATACAGCATGGGATTTGTTATTATTGGGCAAGGATCTTGGAGGACCCTGAATGGCAGACTAGCTGAAGTATATTTTGCAGGCAGCAGGAAAAGGCCACTGATGTTGTGTGGGGTGGGACAGGACATAGGCAGTGCTGGTCAGCATAACAGGGCTTGCCAGACTCCTGTAAGATAAGGGCTGAAGACACAAGTTCAGTTCCACAATGGGGTTCCAGTACCAGTGGAATGGACAGGGCCACCAGGACTGGCTGGGCTGTGCTGGAAAGATCTGGTCTGCCATGCTGTGGGTGGTTTGGCCTTCACAGTGCTTTCCCCTCCCAGGCTAATCATCTCCAAGAAGGAGCGGATGCTGCAGAAGGGCTCTGGCTTCCACCTGGACCTGCTGCTCATTGTAGCCATGGGTGGCATCTGTGCCCTCTTTGGACTGCCTTGGTTGGCTGCTGCCACTGTCCGCTCTGTCACTCATGCCAACGCGCTCACCGTCATGAGCAAGGCTGTGGCACCTGGGGACAAGCCCAAGATCCAGGAGGTCAAGGAGCAGCGGGTGACAGGGCTGCTGGTAGCCCTGCTTGTGGGTAAGCTGCACCTTACCAAAACCCCACCTTCCCCTTGGGTCCCTGGGCTCACTGGAGAAGGGAACCGACTGTGTCTTCCTTGGCAGGCCTCTCCATGGTTATTGGAGATCTGCTCCGGCAGATCCCGCTGGCCGTGCTCTTTGGCATTTTCCTGTACATGGGAGTTACTTCCCTTAATGGGATCCAGTTCTACGAGCGGTTGCACCTGTTGCTCATGCCACCCAAACACCACCCAGACGTCACCTATGTCAAGAAGGTAAATTTCTGCCCTGCGGGGCCTCGGGTCCCCAACCTTGGCCAGCTCGCCTTGACCCCTTCTGTGTATGGAGCAGCTCTAAATATCCCTGTGCTACTCCATCCTCCTCTCTTAAGGAGAAAGGAGTTTCTTTCTCCTACTGGCTGGGGTAGGAGCCTGGGCTCACCTCCTCTCTGCTCCCAGGTTCGGACCATGCGGATGCACCTGTTCACAGCCCTGCAGTTGCTCTGCCTGGCCCTGCTCTGGGCAGTCATGTCCACAGCTGCTTCCCTGGCCTTCCCCTTCATCCTCATTCTCACAGTGCCACTGCGCATGGTGGTGCTCACCCGCATCTTCACCGAGCGAGAAATGAAATGTGTAAGAATTCCTGCCCCACTCACCTCTAACCCACCAGCTCTCTCCCTGTGAATTGGGAAAGACCCACCCTTCCCTTCCTCCCACAGCTGGATGCTAATGAGGCGGAGCCAGTGTTTGATGAACGAGAAGGTGTGGATGAGTACAATGAGATGCCCATGCCTGTGTAGCTGCTGTCCCCGCGGCACAGCAGAAGGACTGATGGGCAGGAGATGGGCTGGGGGCTGGGACTTCCCTCCTCCTCCTCATTTTTATTTAAGTGAATAATTTAAAGTCCCCTTCTCCCCACTCTGCAGTAAAGTGCTTCAATCCCAGTCTAGCCCTGGCCTTCTGTCTTTGTTGGGGACTGTGGGCATGAATGGAAAGGTAGAGAACCCAGCTCTGCTCCTTGTCCCAGAAATGAGACTCACCATGAGGAATGAAAGGGACTTTAATGAAAAAACAAAACATAGGGAACCAAAGTGCAAATTGTCTGCCCCCCATAGGGGAGCCATTCTGAGCCCCACATGTACCCCTCATCCCCCCTCAGGCCCCCACCGGAGGCCCAAGGCCTGGAGCTTCTGCCTCAGGTAGCTCTTGAGTTGGGGCAGGCCCCTCTGTGACTCCAGTTCCTCAAAGGGCAGCTATGGGAAGAGGACAGTTGGTTACAGTGGGTAGGCCCTGAGCACACATATAGGTCAGGTGGGACAGGGCCTCTCACCGGCAGGAGCTGGTAGCCCATCAGGCCCAAGTGCCGCTCCCTGAGGGCCCGAGAGCCCAGCAGCACCCTGCCACCACGGCAGAAATGCCAGCGTTCTTGTAGAATCAGCACCACCCTGGAGGGAGTGGACACAGCTCAGGGTGCTGTCGGCCCCACAACCAAGGTTCCCTCACCCCGCTCCACTTTCCTTACCTTTGGGCAGGGTCTGGCGTTGTGGGATTAGAGGCAGCCTGGCCCTGTGGGCAGGACCTGGGTGGGTAAGGTAGGAAGGGGTCCTGCGTCCTCACAGGAAGCACAGCACCGGAGCTGCTGACGCACAGCAGAAAGTCTGGGGGCAGATGCAGGGCCTTAGCCTTGCCCCAGCTCAGGGCTGTGCTGTGGCCCACCCACAGCTCACCTGTGCAGTAGCCTGGAGGTACAGTCAGGTCCTGCCGGTACTTTTCCTCCCCTAGCAGCTGACGCAGCCCTTCAGATACTATGTCCTTGTGGCTGGGGGGAAAGGACAGCAAGAGAGAAATTCCCATGGTCTCACCACAACCTGTACCTGCTGAGCTACTGCCACCCTGGGAAACACCTTCACTGCTTCAAGGCCTGTTTCTAAGAGTGCTGGGAGCCATGGGCTCTGGCTGTTCTAGTCTGTGCTCCTGTGGGTGCCCCTCCCCTGGCCCACCTGTATTTGCAGCGGGCACGATCAGTGATGAGGGGCTGTGGGAAGATGGGCACTTGCTGCCTTCTTGGAAGGCGGGGGCCTCTGTATCCTGGGAGTTCGAGCTCCACAGCCGTGTCGAGCAAGGAGAGGTAGCGACGCACAATCAGAGAATGGGGGGTGCCTGTGGGGAAGCAGGGACTGGGGGACACTGGGCCGCTGACCCCTGGGCATGCCCCTGCCCGCCAGCCCTCAGCCCCACCAGCCCTCCTGTCTGCATACCACTGATGTGGTTGATGAAACTGGGGGAGAAGACAAACTGCAGGGCTCTGAGGGGCAAGTGCTGAAGCTGGCACAGTGACATCAAAATGTTGACGGTGGCCAAGGGCGCCACCCCTGCCTCCCGAGCCAGGATCCTCTCAAGGCAGGGCATAAACTGCTGCTCTACAGGCAGGTAGTTCAACCTCCCAAAGGGCAGGACCAACTTCTGTACCACCTGTAGAGAAGAGTAGCATCATCCAGCAGGAGACACAGCTCTGGTATTTCTGGTAAGAACTTCAGGAAGGTGTGGCCCAGCCAGTATCTGGTCAAGGCAGAATGGCTCTTTATACCAGCACAGGCCCCAGACTGAGCAGCAGAAGCAGGGTCTTGAGCTACATGGGGCTCACCACCACAGTAGGGACATGGCTGTGGGTATGGCCATGAAAAAGTGGGATGGATGGAGCTAGGCTGCTGCTCAAGAGCTTTGGAAAACCACAAACCTCTTGGCATACTACTGGTTATCAAGAGTTTGATGATCTGAGGGGGTGAGCAGAGATGGATGCCCTGGGCACAGGATACAGCCTAGCGAGAGTGTTTGCTACAGAAGAGGCCAAACAAGCTGGACCAAGCTGCTGAGGGTGACTCAGAGGAGGGTGGGAGGCAAGCCCACCTTGCTGCTGAGCTGGGCTTCCTGGACCACCAGAAAGTGAGCAATGGCTTCCAGAAGCGGCGGCTCCCGCAAGCGGTGCCGGGCCAGATGCTGAGCGAGAAGCACCATGACGTGGGGAGTCAATTCCTCTGGCCTTGCCTCTGCAGAGAACAGCCTGTCATCCTGGGCCGGACTGCACTCATGCACTTTCTCCCAATGGCTCCATCTCAGCCCCTGCCTCCCATTTACTTTTAACCCTCAGCACCTGCCAGTCTGGTGATCAGATGTTGCCGAGGGTACCGCAGGAAACGCGGGCAGCTCAGGGCCGCTTCCAACCTTTGCTCACCCTGGAAGGCAGGATGCTGGGGGGAAGGTGGCTTTGGAGGGAGTCGGGACCTCCGCTCCTGCTCCAGGGCACACAAGAGTGGCCCATCTGATGGAAACCCTGGGAGAGGGACAAAGATTTTCTTGTAAGAGTTGTGATATGCTGTCCTGTCAAATGGGATGAGTCCTCAAGTTCCTCTTTACCATTTCTCGAGTGGGAAGGTGTGCTCATTTAAGTGGAAACACTGGTGATAATAAGGTATGATGTGAACATGATATATGGGAACAGAGTGTTGGGAAAGCCTTATACAAAGGTCATCTGGTGCCAGGTATGACAAACGGCTGTGGCTTCCTAGAGTACTGTATTAGAAGGAACGTGGGCTGGTGCTGTTTGACTTGACATCCCACAGGGATATGATAGAGGCAGCCGCATGTGCGCCTGTTTAGGTGCCATTACTGGAAGTCTGAAAGTTATCAGTGACTTAGGGGCCTCTACAGTTCTTCCTCCATTCTTCCCTAAACACCCACACCTTTAGACACCCTCCTCACCAAGTAAAACAGCAAGGTGTAGACACACATGGATGGTGTGAACGTCAAAGGAGGGGCAGTTTCGGACGATGAGCTGGCTCAACTCCTGCAGCGTGGCCTGTTCCACAGGAGGGGGCCTGGGCTGAGACACCAAGAGCTGGCCCAGGCGACGAAGAGCCACAGGATAGTGGTGAGCGCGCACCTTGGTGGGATTCTGGCTCAGCCAGCGCAGCAGCTCCCCAGGATTCCGTGCCTGTTCCAGAAGCCGCTGCAGGCCTTGCACAGGACCCGCAGGGGGGCCTCCTCCAAGAGGCCGGTCCCCCCACTTGCTGGGCCCCAAACAACAGGGCTGTAGTGGCGGGATGAGCAGCAGGCCAGTCAGCCGAGCAGGGGAAGTCTGGGCAGAGAGCAGGATTCGAAGCATGGAGTTGGGTGGAGACCCTGAGGGGTGGCCCAGAAAACCAGATGAGGTTTCCTCCAAGGGGAGAAAGATCTACTATCTACTCCCTACCTCACTCCCCATCCAGAAAGGCCTTCGTGACCTCTTCCCCACCCTGCCCTTCTTCCCCTTCCACTCCTAAAAACTGCAATCTTAATCCTGCAGGGTGCTCGGCGCAGCTCTGTTCACAAAGCAATTGCCCATGCACTATCTTCTCCGATGCTCCCGCCACACCGATGAGGAGGCGCAGGGCTGGCGTTACCTCATTTCACAGGGGGAGAAACAAGGCCCAGGGCGGCGAAGAGGTTAAGCCCTAGGTCATGCACAGAGTGAGTGGTCGCGCCCAGCCTGGAGCCCCCGGAGGTCCCGGAGAACCGCGCGCCCTGCGGACCACCTCCGCGTCTCGGACCAGGGGGCTCCGGAGCTCCAGAGCTGGTCCCGCGCTGGGCGCCTCCCACTTACCAACTGCGTGACCTTGGACAAGTGGCTTCGCCCTCTGCCCGTCTCCACCCCGGCGAAATGAGGACGCGGCGCCCTGGGCGCGCGCAAGGCCCGAGTGCACCGCTTGGCCAAGGCGCGGGGTCGGGGTTGTCGGGGACCCGGCACACCCCATCTGGGCCCCTGCAGGCCAGGACCCCGGGGCCGCTGCCGCCAACACCAGCTCCCGCCGCCCCCCTCGCAGCCCTCCCCGCAGGCGCCACCCTACATGACTCCCCGGGCCCCGCGCAGGTCGCTCCCTCAGTTGGTCTTGGGGCCCGGGAGCCGGGTTCCCCCCGCGGCCTCCTCATCGGCGGGCGACCGAGTCCGCCATCTTCCCAGCAGCCCCCGTATCGCCGCCGGACACCAATCCCAGCGGAGCGCCCCGCCCAAAAAGACGTGGCTCCCGGCAGGCGCCGCGGGCCCCGCCCCACCCACTTCCCGGAAGTGCTCGCTTCGCGGGGGCGGGGCCATGGCGGAGCTGGCCGCGGCCACAGAGCCCTGGGTCTTGCCTAGGGCAGGGCAAGGCCTCGCCCACGGCCCCTTCCCCCCGGGGCAAGGCCCCCCCCCCCCGCCCCCCCCCCTGCCCGGAC